CCATGTCCCTTTGATATCGAGCTTACACTGAAGAAATCTGTTTAAATAATAATCAATTTTAACACGTTTTAAGAGGGAATTTAAAGTGTTACGAAATTCACTGTACTTAATTTTGTTTCGTTCGGTTGCATTACGTAAATATGTTGCATACAATTTTTGTTTATATTTAATAGATTGTAATAGACTATCAGTCATCCATGTTTTTAATTTTTTATTTTTGTTAGTTTGAATTTTTTTTTGAAAAGTGTTTATTATATAAAACTTTTAATTTGGTTTCAAATTTTGAATAAGCTTGGTTTACGTTTTGGAGTATACTCACTTCATCCCATGAAGTTTCACTAAGTTCTCCTTTAAAACGTTCAATATTGTTTGCATTAATTTGCCTATAAGGTTTGTTCTGTAGTACACTGGTTGATTGAGTGTTTTTGTATGTCAGTGAAGATATGGAAAAAACAGGTGAGTGATCTGAAATGTCACAATAAAGTTGGCCACTCGCAAGTGGTAAATCAAGCTGATTGGTCAGTATATTATCAAGTAGAGTAGCAGTTGTTGACGTTATTCTAGTAGGTCTTAGTATTAACGGTAAATAAAAATTGCAAAAGAGAGTGTTAACAAAATTTTGTATTGAATTTTCTCAGGTATATTGTAAAATATCAATATTGAAGTCGCCAATCAGAAATACCTGCTTATTTTCATTTGCAAGGGTATGACAAAGTTTGTCAAGGGTATCATTAAAGGCGTTAACGTCCAAAGACGGAGCCCGGTAAAATGTCCCTATGATAATATTTTTCCCATGCTTTAGTTTTATTTCGATGAACAACGATTCACATATTGATTCATCGGTTAATAAGTCAACAACAAAAGATAATTTGTTTTGCACGTACATAGCTACGCCACCACCACTTTTGGATTGTCTTTTTTTAGATAAGAATGTATATCCGGGGATATTTGTTAGTGGACTATCATCGTTTTTAAGCCAAGATTCAGAAATGGCAATAACATCAAATTCAAACTCAAGTGTTAGAAGAAAACATCTTAAAGAGTCCATCTTACCAAAGAGACTACGTGCATTGAAATGAATACTAGAAAAAAGGTCATCATTATTTAATTTAGAAAAAGTGTCAGCAAACTGACTTGGATGAAAATAACTTGATTCATTTATACTATCACTATAAAATTGAAAGTCCGGATTTACATCTTCATTATTGATGATGTTTTCGTAGGCCAGGAAGGGGTTAAATTTTAAATCGGATAGAGTATTTAAATTTTCGGCATCTAAGCTATTATGATTTGGCATGGTGGGGGAGTATGTACATAAATTCGCTCAACTTTTACACTTATTTTTAAATCGTATGCATTCAATGCTAGCACGAAGATAGAAAAAAGTGGGTATATATACTTTGAAATATAGATAAAGTGTACATCATCCATATATATAATATCAATTGATAGCATTTAACGTGATAGTATATAAATAATAATAATAATAACACACAATAAAAGCACATGGTTCGTAAATAAGTTCGGGCTACTTAATGTGCTATAACAAAAAGAGATATGGTAAGCCATTGCTCCGTCAGAGAAATATTAAGTAGAAGTATAGATAAAGTTAATTTTAATCATAATTAATATTATGACATGCTACAAATTAAGTGACAATAGCCAACGAGTTAAAAGAATAGACAATGTCTACCTAGGAGTGGAGCAAACCGTTGATGTACAAGTTTCCGTTACGGAAAGACGGCCTTTTACCCTCACTATAGGCTAGGGCTATTGTGTCTTTTAGACTTCGTTTTTTTTACAAGATCCGCTTCGCAAAGATCATCGGTAACAAATAAGTTACTGTTTTTTAGTAATGCCCTTGCCTTCGTAAAGACTTGATGACGTTGGGGCCGGTATATAAACTTGGCAACAATATGCCTTGGCTTATCGTTCGGTGCACGGGGTTTACCTGTCCGGTGGGCGTTCTTAATCATAACTTCCGGAATATTTAACTTATTTTGGATCAAATCTTTAATCTTCTAGACAGAATTTTCGTTTCTTTCCTCCGGTAAGCCAT